TATTCCAAAGCCTTTTCAACAACTTTTATTTTCTCCTTGGGGGTACACACATCCTTTCCATAAAATTGTTAGATCCTAATTTTAAAGCACTGATTAGTACCTTATACAACCTGCACAATACCCATTTTAGATGTTACTTCTTAAGTGCCAAACCTAATGCCTGCATTTTTAGTTTTATTAACATTTTCAAGTTTTGCTTTGATTCTGGAGGTAGTATATCCAGGTTGTTCCTTATGTTATTAATATCAGGCACAAGCATTCTTAACGGTTGCAGTTTCTTGAACTTCCACCTTTTAGCAGGCACCACAACCTTAAATAGTAATCTGGGGTAGTACTTATCAATTTTTTCTTTTACTCTTACTGGTACACAGCTAGGTTCTATTTTTTATTCAATCACCCCCTTCAACGTCTGTTTTTCCAATTGCGTGGTGTCCATAGGCGTAACTTGTAATTCCATCTTCAAGTAAGTATCTTTTGTCATCAAAACAGCTAAGAGTAACCTTCTTCAATTCGTAAGTTCCGATTGTATGCTTTGTGCTCCTGATTGTATTCATGTTGTGTCTCATTCTACCTTTCGTGTTGATTACATTCTTGAAGTTCTCATGAGTGAGCTTGTTTCTGATGACATACTTTTTAACCCCTTTAGCTGTCATTCCACCCCCACCGTTTTCCTTTACATAGGAATACATTTTTGACCTCAACCCAACAAACTCAATTATAGGTACTCCTTCAGCTTCATCCTTAAACTTACCTATAACCTTCTTGTTGTGAGTTGAGTAGTACGGAGATTCTTTTGGATAATCTGAATTATCCCAACAGCTTTGCTTTTCACCAATTCTCTTAAAGTCCTCATAAACATCATCCGTCTTCAGTTCGTACATTAGACTGTCAGTATCAGTGAACAGTAACCTTGAGTTATTACCGTACTCCTTCTTGATGGTGTTGTAGTGAAAATCATACATTAAAGTCTTAGATAAGTCTAAGATGCTCATTCCTACGTAACATGGTTTATTTAGCGTTAGAACTTCTTTCATTCGCTTTACCACTATAAGATTCTCTGGAAGAGGTATATCGTCTCAAAACAACACTGGATATAAATAATCACAGCAGAGAACTGAGAACGTGATAAAAAGTGTATATTTAATACTATGTTACGTAAACTGATATTGTAAATTATAAGTATAAATTAACCTAGTCAAATAAATATATGGTTCTTCACTCGGACTCTGTCGCGTGAGTATGATCGACTAAGAAGTATATATAGTGCGCTCGGGCCTCGGTAGTTAATACGCCTGTTGTGAAAACATAATTTCTTGACTGATAAGGCCAGAAAGGAATTAAATTAATTACGGCCTAAAATAGTATTAATTTGACGCAGTTAGTACACAACCAGTGACTATAAGGAATAAATTGCGCGCAAACAGTATATAGATACGGCACGTTTCAGCAAACGCAAATGGACGAA